GTAGGAGATTATGTTGGGCTCGGTCCAAATACATGAAACGAGAAATTAAAAGAAATGAAGCATGAAATGAGTTTTTATTTATTTATTTATTTATTTTTATTTTGCTTTTCTTACTTGCTCTCTAGTATGCTTTAGGCTCGAATTGTCCGCTCGAGTACACAAGTCTAGAATAATATACCTAGGTTTTTAGCTTAGAATAACTCAGTCTCATACCGGATCTCTAGTAGGAACGCTTGTTTCCATCACGTGCATTTGACTTTGGGGACTCAACACAGGGGTTGGGTCCATCTAGGATAGGTGTACCCAAATTAAAAGACCATCCTGATGCATCTTACGTGCTACTTGCGTATCTATCTGTTTCGGCTTGTATGTTGACTGGCTTCTAGAATAGGGAAAGAAAAAAGAAAATCAAAAAAAAAAAAGAGAAAGAAGAAAAAAGAAAAGAAAGTGAGAGGTAGATATTTGAAATATCCTGAAACTATGCCGAAATTTTGAAGAAAAAAAAGTCATTTCAAAATAAGTCAATTTTTGTTCCGTCAAAACTGACGAACTACGCGGGTCTGATTCTCACCGGATATGAGATACGTAGGCAAACCTCATCGGTTCGGCCCACAAACTTTTTTTTAAAAAAAATCCAAAAATATTTTTCATTACTTTCTTCTTTAGAAAGTCTTTCTTTAGACCCCAATTTTTTAAAAAAAATATATAAAAATATTTTCTTTTAATTTCTTCTCAAAATCAAAAAATATTTTTCATTCTTCTTTCAAAAAATTGAAAAGAAAATTCAAGGTTCAAAAATATTTTCTTTTTCTTTAGAAGCATTTCTATTATAAATTCAAAATAAAATTTCAAAAATCCAAAAATATTTTCTTTCTTCTTTAGAAGTTTTTTCTTCGAAATTCCAAAAAAAAACAAAAAGGTCGATATTCAAAAAAAAAATATCTTTTTTCTTTAGGAGTCTTTCTTTGCAAAAATTTTGAAGAAAAATCAAAATCCAAAAATATTCTCTTTCTTCTTTATAAGTCTTTCTTTCGAAAAAATAAAATGAAAAATTTAAAATCCAAAAAAAGCTTAGTTTATTTACTTTATTCCTGATCTTCCGAACTACGCAAGATCTGATTCATGTTCCCACATGATACGTAGGCAACACACGTCAGGTTCGATCGAATGGGTAAAAAAACAGAGAAAAGAAGGAAAAAGAAAGAAAGAGGGTATTTATTCTAACATGCTTGTTGTTTTGGAATAAAAGGTAGTCAGGGGTGGGCGGTTTGTTGGTTTGCAATGGCATGTAACAAAAACAATCCAAGATCTCTCGAAAATAAATGCATCTTCTCAACCAATGGAACAAGCACCATTCTTGTTGATCCAAGGTCACAAAAAGGCAAGCAGGCAAGTTGGTGGTGAAAAATCAAAAATGGAGGCAAATATGGGGTTGACTTTACCAAATTTGAGCAATAAGACATGGACTGCTCGGGATGACTATCAAAATTTGAGTGTTGAATCCAAAGCAATCAAAATGGTTAAATGTCATAGTAATGCTGATGTGCGAATGTGTGGCTAAGATGTCGCTTAGTAACTGGAAAATCACTCCTCCTTCAGCCATGATAGTTTATTTTTGTTGTCTTTTCTTCCTCTTTTGTGTTATCGGACTTTGTTATCCTTTATTAAATAAAAATCAGTCAGTCATTTTGTGTCCATTTTGTGCATAGTTCTTTTCACGCTAGTTTTAGTGACATGACATGCATGCGGTATTTTTGGCCAGATCTTAGAAAACTGACTTAGTCTTGAATTGAATAAGTGATAAAGAGACACTTTTGGATAAGAATAGACACGTGAAACATTTGAAAATAAGCATGAGCTAAGTTTATAAGGAACCAAAGCAGTCATGCTCATTGAAGTTAAGGATCTCTACCTTTTGAATCATTTGAGAAGATCGGGCTTAAGGATAATCGGATGGTTTGAAGTCTGTTTAGCACTAAGAGATAGAAAGTGTTTTCAATATAAGGTGTATTCCAGACAACTTGAAATGGATCAGTTAGTGACAAATGCATCTTCTAAATCAAGACAAAATCCAATAAAAGTCACCCAAATTGATAAGGGTCATTCACAGCGAGGAAAGTATTGCTCATACACTTTACACTGAAAAAGACCCAAGAAGACAGGCATGCCCATCAATGTTGTGATCGCGAAAGGATACTATAATTAGCATTCTCGATGCCGAGAGTCCCTCTTTCTGCTATCCAAACACTTTATATCCTTCACTACCCCTTTTGAGCATGTGTTAGTTTCTTTGACTACCCTCTTTTGGAATCAAGTTTAGAGTCAAGAGTCAAAAAATGATAAAAAAAATAAAAAAAAATAAAAATAAAAAGTTCATGTCCCAAGAGTACAAACTGGGGCAATTCTTAGAAAGTTCAAGTGAAAAAAAAATAAAGAAGAAAAGAATTGTCAAAGGTACATGCCCTCAAAAAAATAGAAGTCGGGGCAACTTGTTTTGGAAAACAAAAAGAAAAAAAAGATAGAAAAAAAGAAGGAAAAAAGACAGAGGAAAGAAAGTTGAAAGAAAGATAGTTAGGTCAAATGTTTGAACTACGTTAGATCTGATTCCTTAAAAAAGGATACGTAGGCAGCCTCACGGTTCGGTCCAACCAAATAAGAATTCAAAAAAAATCCCCAATAGCTGAAACTGGGTCAAAGATTTTATTTCACTTTTGAAAGAGTCGATTCCAAGAGTTGTAAGTCTACAACCCGCTTTATTTTGAGTCTATTTTGAGATTTCTTTCTTTCTTTCCAACCCTATCCAAAATCCTTCCAAATAAAGACGTCCCGATAGACCTTCAGGAAATGCCAAGAAAAGCATGCAATGAGCAACGGTTGTCATGCGACATAGAACACTGTCAGGATGCTCGCGCAAGAAAGCAAAAGAAAAAGAAAAATAGAGAAGAAAAATGAGAGAGTCTTACTAGTGAAAACCCTCACGGGCACTGTAAGTCGACGGTAAGTAGAGAAAATAAATGAGAGAGACTTGTAGGTAAAAATCTCTCGGGGCACCACTAGTCGAAAGTGAGTCATGAAGTTGATGCAAAGAATTGGCACAAACAAGCCTGACTTCAAAGGTCATAAGAATGGTAAAAGGTAAGATTAGATCAATTTGATAGATCATGTTGTTAAGTCCAAAATGCATGTCATGATCATTAAGACTAGTTATTGAAAAAAAACCTTCCTTCTATCCTTCCCGACAGGGGCATTTCTTGTTAATACTGTTTCTTTGCATCATTGTGGCCTTCACTCTGAGTCAGTCCTTGTCAAAACAAGCAAGAAAAGATTTCAAAATTTGTTACCAGCTTTTCAGTTGCACAAAGTAAATTTGGCCAGCACACTCGGTTGTTACTGTCAACGTGCCTTTAGGATTCATGCAAAGGCTCCCCCAAAAGACTCTTGTCAGTCTACTTGGCGCAAGCAAAGATAACTGTTGATTCTCTCTCACAGACAAATTGCTCAAAAGCAGGAAGTCATTCAAGATATCAGAAAAGGTCACCTAAGCAAAAATCTCCAGTTGGGATAGGTTGATTGAGCCACAAATACAAATGGTACTGGGTGTGAAACAATTAGGGTTGATGCAGAGCAAAAGTCTCTTGGAGCCGACTCAAGCTGATTGAGCAGAAACCAAGCTACCCAAGACCACAAACCGACCACCATTTTCAAAACTGACAAATTTTTCTTTGTATGAAATAGGAACAAAGCAGTGCAAGGAAAGTGGTTCAAAAAAAGAGAAAAAAAAACAAAAAGAAAAGAAGAGCAGAGCCGACAAAGGGAAGTTTCTCAAATCTTTCCCTTTATTTGCCTTGTTATTGTGCATAAAATCTTGTCGTTGATCTTCACATTTTTCCTCATAGGATAAAAAAGTCCTAGTCTGATGGATTTTCTTCCCAATAGAAATATTAGTCTGATGAATCTTTCTCCTAAGATAACAAATCTGATGAACCTTCTCCTAGGATCAAAATCTTAGTCTGATGAATCTTTCTCCTAAGATAACAAATCTGATGAACCTTCTCCTAGGATCAAAATCTTAGTCTGATGAATCTTTCTCCTATGATAAAGAGACCTAGTCTGATGCTTCTCCTAGGATCGAAATCTTAGTCTGATAAATTTTTCTCCTAAGATAGAAGACCTAGTCTAATGAACTTTCTCCTAGGATAGAAATCTTAGTCTGATGAATTTTTCTTTTAAGATAACAAAAAAGGGATTAAAAAAAGGACCTAGTCTGATGAACTTTCTCCTAGGATCAAAATCTTAGTCTGATGAATCTTTCTCCTAAGATAGAAAACCTAGTCTGATGAATGTTCTCCTAGGATAATTTGAAAAAAAAAAAGGGAAGAATGGATTTGAAAAAAAAAAGAAGGGGTCAATTTTAGTTTTCTTAAGTTATCAATCTTTAGTTGTCTTGAAATTAAAACCCTCCTGGATAATGAGATTTAATTTTAAAAGTTTTTCAGGACCCTCTTAGATAATGGGATTTTGTGTAAGTTTTACTTGAGGAAATATAATTTAGCTTTAAAATTTTGACTCTTAAGATGAGATTTAATTTTAAAGTTTTTCAGAACCCTCCTAGATAATGGGATTCAACTTTTAAACTCATAGAACTCTTTTGAATAACAGGATTCGATTAACACTCACAGATGTTCCCGGTACCAAACTGGGGTAGAAAAGTTTCTTTTGTTTTGTCTGTTTTGTTGTAGTAGCAGGCGCCCACATGGAAAATAAAGGAAGACAGTTCAAGTTTCAAGGAAAAGCAGTTTCAAAGGAAAGCATTTCAAGTTTCAGCAATCAGGCGCCCACCTGGAGAACAAAGGAAAGCAGTTCAAGTTTCAAGGAAAAGCAGTCTCAAAGGAAAGCAGTTCAAGTATAGCAATCAGGCGCCCACTTGGAGAACAAGGGAAAACGGTTCAAGCTTCGAAGGACGACAGGTCAAGTTTAGCAATCAGGCCCCCACCTGGAGAACAAGGAAAAACATTTCAGAATCCGATTCATGTTAGAAGTAGCAGAAGCTCGCCTTAAGAATGCGGGTCGACAAGGGTCCGAGATAACAAAAAAGAAGTCTCAATCAAGAATAAAAGAAAAAAAAAGTAAATCCAAAGTGCAGAAGTAGAGAAAAGATGTGGACTACTCAAGACATAATTGAAGTCACAGGCTCTGCATGTCCCTTCTTGATCTGAAAAAGCTGAAGAAGATTGAACCAACACCTGCAGCTAACAAGCATCAAGATTCAGATTAGAGTCCGTATGAAGAACCAACCAAGACTCAAGATCAAGCTTCAGAAGACTGATAGATAGGAATCTTGTAACTCGTAGTTGATAGGCTTAGTTAGTCTTGTTCATTTTTTATTTTTGATGTAACAACGAGATCGCGGACCGGAACCTCGATGGCACCTCGACCGGCTCTCCACCTCGGTATATTCCATCATCTCACTCGCCTCTGAACTACACGTGGTCTGATTCCTTTATAGCCAAGGATATGTAGGTAGCCCAGATACCAGGACTCGGTCACATTCCCCTTTTCCCTTAGTTTTGGTCTCCTTAAATAAGGGTCGGTCATAAAACCTGTCTAGTCGTTCTTTGTCCGAAAACTCTTCGCGTTTCCAGTCAAAAAGGAGCAGCTGTAGACATGTGATTTTTGACCCTCCCCAAGATTTTTCATATTTTAGCATGTAAATATTTAATTTAGGCATAATATAGCTATTTCAACTCATTTTTACTTTTTTACTTTATTTTATTACACGAAAACAAAAATTACAAAAAATAGTTTCATTAATATTTTGTAGTCATTTTTAATCTTGAAAAATACCAAAAATAGTTTTGTTTAACGGTCAGTCTTATTTTAATAGTTATTTTACTTAAGTAGGATTAATTAATAAATGAGGTCGTATTTTAGCCACGTTCGCGGAAAAAGAATAAAACTTGAGCTCGAGCAACCCATTTTTTAAGCCTAATTTTGGACCTAGCCCATAATTTCCAAGCTCATAATTACTATGACCAAACCCCTAACCTAATCTCTACCCCTATATAATAGTACCTAATCCCTAAATTGGGAGAGACCCTAGACACTGATCCGCCGCTTCTCTCTAAAAACATCAAAGAAAAAAAGCCAAAAAATTACAGTTGACTGCACGGTTATGTGCTATGTTGGTACCAGTTGAGGCGTACGGAAGAATCAGTTATATCCTACATAGTTTGAGACCGAAGATGGCTCGAGTAAAGGAAAATTCTTGACAAAGGTTATAATATGCTTCATAGGTGTGTGAGAATCACGAAATGTCTTGAGTTGTTGTCGGTAAAGGATGCTTGGTACATAGAGCAGGAAGCTGCTTGGTTGTTTTAGGATGAGGTTACACTCTGCGGTGTCGGAGTGCTATTGAGGCACGAGTTGTTCGGTTCGTTTGATCAGGCTAATTGCAGTTTGAGTAGAGTGAATGACTCTCGAGAATGGTTCTGATGTGTCCAAGATTTTACATGTGATAATTGGATATTTTCAAGTTGTATATGTGGCTAGAAATCGAGTTTTCATTGGAGGATGTCAAGACTTATGGCATTTATATATCAATTATGGGAGATCTATATATCAGTATCAGGAAGGTGAAGGTAATGGCTTGGGATTTGCAGAAAGACTCTTCAGGGGAGGTATTTTGAACGTGGTGCTTTTGGGAATATTTAAGAGAGTATTCAGAGGCTTATGAGCCTTAGACGGTGTGGTGTTATGCTCGAGTCTCGTGTGACGATTTTGGGTCGAGGATTGTGATGTGATAGCATGAATAAGTATCAAGACAAAGGTAAATTCAGAGGACTTGTATAGATGGGATAGCTTGGTAGTAGGTCGGCTCGGCAGGGGAAAGGATATGATGAGTTCTCTAGGTACTTATGAGGTAATGGGTTTCTACATGTGTTTCGCGACAATTCTTTTGGGTTTAGCGACCTGCATAGCTCGGTTGAGTTAGAAGGATTCAGTCCTGATGATTTAGTGTTGCGCAAATGGAATTCGGAGTGCTCTAGATGGTTTCCACTATAGTTAGAGAGGTATATTTTTCCTATTGACATGAGGAGCATGGGATGTATAGTGATTTTCTTCTAGATGGGATCAATGGGAAGTCATTGGCTGGTTGAGTAAGTAGCTGCTTGTAGCTCAGAGTGGTTTGCGAAGTTCTCGTAACTATCATTTGGGTGGTATAGTATATGCAGTATGTTGTATGGGGTTAAGGTTTGCATGTGTAAGGTCACAGTTCAGTTTTGAAAGAAAGGTCATAAATTCTTAGATAGCATAGGCAGCTTCAGGTGACTAGATAAATGATATCACTGGTTGGTGTAGCTTGATGAGGGTATACATTTTAGAAGGGGCGATGTGTCTGAGTTATGGATGGTTTATGGGTATTGCGGCACTATCTCACCTAATCGAATGATGATATTCGAGTTTGTTTGGTGGCACAGAAAAATTATTGGTGTACACCTCATGGGATGATTGAGTATTAGAGGTTTGTTGTATATTCGAGCGGCGAAATTAGGATCAGATATGGTAATTCGTGTGCCTTATGGACTTGGAGACTGAAAGTTCTAATAAACAGGTTAACTCGTGGTTGTGGACGATAAATATGTGGGCAAGTTAGTCAGATGACAGTATGTGCTATGATTCAATCATTGTGAACTTTCGGAGGGCTATTTATCTGTTGTGGGTGACTAGAGTTGATGTGTGGTTTATTGGTAAACCTATATGGATGTGTGTTCTGCATCGAGACAGTTTTGTTAACTTCGAGTTGCTATTGGTGAGGGATGTGTTGATTTGGTTGTTATGGAGCTTTTAGTAATCAGGGGGATCTATGAGTTATCTTCCGTGTTGCGAGACGTCAGGATTTATTGGTTATAGGCACATGTGGTGCGGTGTTATTGGGGCCTCTTAGTGGAATTAGAGCGGGAAAAGCACTGGGTATTGCTCGGTGGATGGCGTATCGGTTATGTCCTTTCCAGTTGTGTGGTGTTATGTAATTGCCTCGCAGTGGTTATGATGATTGCTTTGGTTTTAGACATCATATTGCGCACGATTGTCGATTTTAAGCATAGTAACTTAAGGTGTCTCATATGGACCAGTGTTTGGATGAGGTTGCGCGTTGGGGCAAAGCTATGTGGAAGTATGATCCTACGGGTTAGATTCGTGTGTTCTGTTTCTACAATGTGTGGCGGGTTCTCAGCCTTGTGTTGTGGTGGTACTAGTGAGCTTGCGGTACAATTCTTTTATTTGAGTCATTTTCATGATTTGAGTAAGTTTGGATTGTGGCTTATTGGTGCACGGATTGCACAAGTCGTGGCGTTAGTCTGTATTGATGTGTCAATGTCACCAGAGTAGTGGTGTTGGATTAGATGAGATCGTCGGGATCTTTAATGATTGCAAACGGATTTGATTTCAGTATGTTGAAAGGATAACATCGAGGTTCGGCACAGAAATTTGCTATGGTCTTTGCCAAAGTAGAAGTGGCTTCATGAATGGTTGATCTAAGAAAACGGTTATGGCTTACTGCGTGTTTCATTTATCATTGGCAGTATATGAAAGTGTTGGAATGAGACTTTAGTTGATAAGAGGTTTCCTATCGATATTCGGTTGTTGTGTGTAGCTGCTGTGATTAGAAGTTATCGCTGCAAGCATTTGAGTTATGTGGTATATCATGTAATTGTACTGAGGTTGTGGGTATGGGTTATTACAGCTTGTTCGGTCTTAGTCAGAGTATAGATGTGAGATATTGATCTTGTGGATGATTTCAGAAGTGGAAATGTGGTTCTAAGGTTCATGGGCTAGGTTGGACTGTGAAATTTCAGTTACATTGTGTTATCGGACCTATACGAGATAGGGTGACGTGGGATCACTCCCGGGTATGTGCATGGTAAGGTTATTCAGCGATTGGTCGGCTTTTGGAACAACTCTGGGCACGTTCGAGGACGAACGTATGTTTAAGTAGGGGAGGATGTAACGACCAGACCGATCGTTTTGAGCTTTTGCACTTTACTCGCCAGTTCTCGGGCATGACTTGCTCTGTGTGATATATTATGACTTATGTAAATCGTTGGTTTTGGTTTTCAGGGTAATTGGAATGAATTTGGAAGAACAGTTCTCAGTTTGAAGCTTGAAATTTGAAATGTTTGACCAAGATTTGACTGGTTTGTATATGATCTCGGATCAGAATTTTTAAGACTTGGTTAGCTCCGTTAGGTGATTTGAGACTTAGAAGCGTGATCGGAATGCATTTTCAAAGTCCGTGAAAGGTTTAGGCTTGAATTGGCGAAATTGAGATTTTGGCAATTTTCCGATTGATAGGTGAGATTTTTATATAGGAGGCGGAATGGAATTCCGGAAGTTTCAGTAGCTTCGTTGTGTCATTTGTGACGTGTGTGCAAAATTTCAGGTCATTCGGACGTGTTTTGGTTGAGTTTTGATCAAAAGCGTAATTTGGAAGTTCTTGAAATTCTTAGGCTTGAATCCGATGCGATTTTGGTGTTTTGAAGTTGCTTTGAGCGTTTCGAAGGTTGGAACAAGTTTGAATGAGGTTATGGGATATCTTGGCATGTTTGGTTGAGGTCCCGAGGGCCTCCGGTGAGTTTCGGATGGCCAATCGGACCATTGTGTGTTGTTTGGAATTGCAGAAAATTGCTGACCAGTGTTGCAGAGAAATGGCCTTCGCGTTCGCGAGCAAGCCCTTACGTTCACGAAGGGTTAGCTAGTGAAGGATGGAATTTTAGCCTTCGCGTTCACGAGGAAGGTTCCGCGTTCACGAAGGGCTGATTGTTTGGGCATCGCGTTCGCGTAGAGGAAATTGGCCAGGTGGGCTTTAGGTGTTTTAATCATCGTGTTCGCAAGAGAGGTAATGTGATCGCGAAGGGTCAAACTGAGGAGCCATCGCATTCGCGAGGGGTGGTCGTGATCGTGAAGAGTAATTTTGGGTCAAAGTTATTTGGTACTTCGTGAACGTGAGGTGTTGACCGCGTTCGCGAAGAAGGTTTTTGATGCCTGGGCAGAATGTTTAAATAGTCATTGTCCGCGATTTTGGGGCTAATTTTCACCATTTTTTGGCGATTTTGGAGCTTTTTGAGAGGATTTGAAGAGGGATTCAAGAGATAACACCTGGAGATAAGATTTTTGAACTCAATACTCGATCCTATGTTGATTCTTACTTGTTTAATCATAAAAAATGTGGAAATTAAAGCCTAAAAATTAGAGAATTAGGGCTTGAATTTGGAGAGTGTAAATTGGGAATTTGAAGGGGCAATTGAGGTCCGATTTTGATGTTCTTGGTATGTATATACTCGTGAGAGGATGAGGCTATTGATATGACTTTTATCGGATTTCAAGACGTGAGCCCGGGGGCCGGGTTTGAGCAACTTCGGGATTTTTTATGTAAATTGGATATTTTCGAGTGAGCTTTGTTCCCTTAGCATATTTTAATAGTTATGTACTGATTGTGGCTAGATTTGGAGCATCCGGAGGCCGATTCGTGAGGGAAAAGGTATTGCGGGCTAGAGCTTGGACCGGATCGTGGTAAGCAACGATTGTAATGTCTTGAGGGTTTGAAACCCCGGATTTCACATCGTTGTGCTACTTTGAGGTGACACACATGCTAGATGACGAGCGTGGAGTCGTGCACCGTTGGGGATTGTGACTTGGTTCGTCCCGTACGACTGTTAAGTTGCGTATTTGATTTGAAATCTTATGATATTCCATATTTTAGAGATTGATATTATATTTGGGTTGTATGCCATGTTTGGGGCTTTGTGCCGACCTATTGAGACCTTTAGGGGCACTTTCACTATTTTTCCTCACTCTATTTGTTTGAAAAAATATCCTAAGTCATGTTTTACCTGTTTATTGTTTAAATCTGGTTTTATCACTTTAATTCTTAAAATGTGAAAACTGTTTAGGCTGAGTTCCTTGTTTTACTGATGGTCCGAGTGATCGTGAGGTTGATGACTAAGATGGACCGAGGGTCTGATTGTGAGGTTAATGACTGAGATAGATCGAGGGTCTGATTGTGAGGTTAATGACTGAGGGAGGCCGAGGGCCTGGTTGTGAGGATTATACATTTATGGATCGAGCTGCACGCCACAGAAATATATATATATATATATATATATGGATCGGGCTGCACGCCGCAACGATATAGCGCTTGGGCTGTAAGAGCCCCTCTGGAGTCTGCACACCCCCAATGAGCGCAGTCGACTATATATATGGATCGGGCTGCACCCGCAGCAATATATGGATCGGGCTGTATGTCGTAGCGGTTACTATATGGTACCTATTGAATGTGAGTGCTGAGTGTGAGCGCTGATTGGTAAGAGTTGAGTCACGAGTGACTGAGAGGCTTGCCCGAGGGATTATCTATATCTTTGTAGTTACCTGATCTTATATGTAACCATGAAATTTTTACGTACTAAAGTAATTAAGCTGTCAATCATGCTAGAGCTTATGTTTAGGCTATATGCTGGTATTATTGGGACCGATAGTGGTCGTTTCTTGCTGTTGACTTATTGATTTCATAGAAATTTCGTACTCAGTCATATTCATTAATTACATATCATATCTCAGTCTCTGTTGTTATTTATTGATACATCATATCATTATTTTCGGGCTAGTTTCATGACATTGTGAGCCTATAAGAGAGAGATTAGAGAGATTGATGATTGAGTAAGGCCGATGGCCTAATTATGAGTGACATTTATGGGATTGGGCTGCATGCCGCAGCGGGTTTTACTGATTTATGATAGCGCTTGGGCTGAAGGAGCCCCTCCGAAGTCTGCACACACACTAGTGAGTGCAGTTGATTCTATATATGTGAGGATCGGGTTGTACGTCGCAACGAGCCTTATTGCTATATATATGTGGATCGGGTTGCATGTCGCAATGAGTCTTATGGCTATATATATGTGGATCGAGTTGCAAGCTGCAGCGGGCCTTATGGCTATATGTGGATCGGACTGCACGTCGCAGCGGATATTGTACAGTGCTGAGTGACTGAGTGTGCTGAGTATTAAGCAAGGTGAGAGAGAATGCGAGACAGTGAGATTAAGTACTCTGAGAATGTGAGTACATGAGTTCATCATTGAGAGGCATTGCATTTGACATGTGTACTTGAGATACATGCATAGAGATGCATTTCCTTCTGCTACCCGGCTTTGGTGACATTCATGATTTTACCTGTATCTTGACATATAGGCATAGAGATGTACTTTCCTCACGCTATCTGAAAATGAAACATCTTAATTATTGTTGAAAGAATTTTTGGGAAAAACACAGTTTTCAAGCTTACTCATATTTTAGCAAATTTTCGGTAAAAGATTTGGATTTTCACTGAGATACTTGAAAAGCATGTCTATTTTCTGGAACTTTGAACGAGCTGAGCATTCTATTTCTGAGATACTTCTTTTATTACTTGCATTATATTATTATAAACTGTTGTTGGCTGTTGGTGTCGGACCCGACCTTGTTCAAGCTCGTCACTACTTTCAACCTAAGGTTAGGTTTGTTATTTATTGAGTACATGGGGTCAGTTGTACTCGTACTACACTTCTGCACCTTGCGTGCAAATGGTGGATGTTGATGCTGCTGTGTTCGACGGGAGCTGGATTTGAAGATGTACTTGCGTTCCGGTTATCGCTGCTTCTTGTTCATGGTAGCTCTAGACTTATGAAAGATCTATTCATGTATATTTCAAACAGATGGCGTGCTTTATTTCATTTCAGCTTTTGTAAATTCTAAATCTTAGACGCTCATGATTTGTACTAACAGTCCTTGGGGTATGTATAAGATTAAGATATTTCTTTACTTAATAGTGTTATTAAATTTTATTGAAATTGATTAGTTGTTAAATTGGCTTATCTAATGAGTTGGGTTAGGTGTCATCACGACTAGTTGGATTTTGGGTCGTGACACCTTCCCTATTTTATAAAGTTTTAGCCAGTTAAACGAATATAAATTCAAACAAACAGATATTTCTCGAACACAACTTTTAAGAAGAGTTTCCAAATCATCTTAAGCCTTCCTAACACATGATATCATGAATAAAATCTATCAATAAAAAATCACAAAAAAAATTTCAATAGCTATTCAGACTTAATTCATCCCATTTTTGTCAATCTCAACCCATACACCAATTTTAGTGCTTTATCAAAATTGGGTTATTATGAGTTCTTACTTTTTTCCTCAATTATAAAGAGTGACGTGTGTGAAGAGGCAGTTATGAAGAACCTGAAAATATACTCGCGATTCACAATTCATGGAAATATAACATATACAAAACAAAGTAAAGAAAAGGAAGAACAACATTCATTAGGAGTAAATTTAAATATCCTTTTTATTTTTAAGTTAGAAGAATAATAAATATCAATACCTTAAGAAGGCAAATCAGCGAGAAGAAGGCAACATCAATGAATTGGACAAAGAATAACCCTTAAAATGGTGATTCTGCATCGTCTGGTTGGAAAACACAAAATCTAAGGAAATTTATCCATGAAATTGGAAACAGTTACATAGATCTAAACGAAGCAAAGAAAGAAAGAAGACAAAGTAAAAACAAAGAAGATGTGAACAAATATTAAGAGAATGATACCTGAAATCTAACAAATAGATAAGAAGATGAAAAGAGCTACAAGTATTGTTGAACTCTTGAAGGAGAATTGAATTACTCCTCCGATCGATTGGAATAGAAGAGAAGGAAGTCGGAAGAGCAAATGTTTTGGACCCATATTGTAAAATGAATAGATGGAAGGTACTTTATCCTTTGAGCAATATATCGACCATCTTTCTTTTTCTATATAATAGAATATATAGATTCACTTATTAAAACTTTATCTATAACTTTAATAAAGTAAGATTAAAATAATATTCATATAGTCAAAAAATCCGACAAAACTAAATCAATCCAAACTGATATAGTTGGTTTGATTTGGATTGGTTTTAATAAAATCCGAACCAATCCGGTTCATGTACACCCCTATATCATGTGAAAGGCCTTGACAGTTTTCATTAGAAGCATTGGCCGTAAGAGAAGGATATAGACTTTCCTAAGAAGGTCTTAAAGTCTTCATTGTTTTTTCCCGTCTTGCTTAGGAAAGACATATCATCGTCCAGAAAAGATCCTTGCATTGCTCAATGTAATTGAGTCTTAAAGGGTAATTGCATAAGTAATCTCTTGGCCAAATACATAGACATCTCCTTAAACTTGACATCAAATTCCACTTAGATACCTCAACTAAGGCTTGTTCCTATTGAACACTTGAACTCCATATAAAATATGCCCATTAAACACAAATTTGACAATTTCAAATCAACCATAATCCGTGAATCTCACTCTCTTTTAAAATGGAAAACCAAACCAATAAAAATTTTACATGTCAGCAAAAATAAAATTTAAAAAAATCTGACCAGAAAAAGAAATAGAAAAACGGAGTTGATGGCCGAAAATACCATTGCATAGCATGTCGCTATTAGGTAGTTTATTTAGGCAGAATACATCGAAAACCCCTTAAAGTTGTCCCCATTTTTCACTTAGACACTCCATCTTAAGTCTGTTCCACTTGGACACTTTAACTAGACATTAACTGTGTCATTTAGAATAAAAATTGATAAGCAACTAAACACAAAAAATACGTGTAATTCACACGCCAGGATAACGAATAAGATGGAGACACGTGGATTTAATTTAAATAAATAAATATTTTGAAGAAAAAAAAAAGTTAAAACAAAAACAAGAACCCCAACCCCCTTTCGTCATCTTCCTCGTAACTCCTCCTCCCTTCTGTCTTCTTATGCCAAAAAGGAAAAAACAAAGGCAGCCCATGTTGTCTTCACCACAAACTCACTCCTGCCATCATTCTTCTTCCTCCTAATCTCCATATAGAAATCAACTAGTAACAATTTTCCTGTCATGGAATATTAACCCCAAATTGCTGAAAAATAAATCCACCAACAACGAACATTAGTGATTTAATTTGTTTCTAATGGCCAAATCTGGATCTTCCAAAGATATCCATGTCGCTCGGATTAGATCTGCAATGAAGATTTTAGTGATGCCCCAAAGTAAAAGCACTAATCCAGCAAGCTCGTCGGTGTCGGAACCTACGTGTTTCAGATCCAAAGAAAGTGTTCAAAAAATTTATGGCATCAGAAAGGAGAAGGGTCAAAATTGTATGGAAATCATGAACGACCTACAAATTGAATTTGAGTTGAGAAAAGAGGAGAGAAACGAAGAAGAACAAATGTGTGGAATTTTTCCGGCAAACTTATTCCGGCAATGAAAAACAAAGCAGATCATGGTGTGTGAAAGAAAATAAGGAAAAAGAAAGAGAGAGAAATTTTAAAAAGAAAAATAGATCTGTCACGCTCTGAAAAATGGTGTAATACACGCACTATGCCACATCAATTTGTGTTTAAATGACACAATTAATATTCGGTTAAAGTATTCAAATGGAACAAACTTAAGATGGAATGTCTAAGTGAAAAGTGGGGGCAACTTTAATGGGTTGTCAATGTATTCTGCCGTTTGTTTGTCCTTCATTCGCTTCGATTCTTCTTCTTTCTTTTAAAACAAATTGTTACCAAAGATGCAAATTAGAATGTAGTTGTGGTGGTGGACGCCCAAATCTGATTAAGGGGAGGAGGTGGTAGTAACAATGGTCAGATTGATAAAGAAGAAGACAGTGGTGGTAGTGGTCGAAACTAAAGGACGAGGAAGTGGTGGTGGTGGTGGTGGTGATGTGGCAGTAGCGTGGAGTCTAAAAAAGAAGAAGATGGTGGTTAATATGGCGGTCGACGGTCCAAACTGGTAAAGACCGAGGAGGATATAATGGTGATGTTGGTTGTCGGATTTGAAGGAGAAGGAGGTGATGGTGGTAGTGGCAGCGGCCGAATCTAAAGGAGGAAGAGGATCTAGTGATTATGGTGGTCAATTGCCAGATCTGAAAAAGAAAGTAAGTGGTTGAGATGGCCGAAGAAGAAGAAAATAGGTTAGAAAATTGTTAAGAAAAAGTAGCTGTCGAAGATTAGTTTTCCAGCCAAAAAATTGCATTTTCCGGTGAGCAATATACATGATAAGCTTTTTCACGCCCCCATAAGATGTGACAAACACATACTGTTACATGTTATCAAAATGTATTTAATAGGTATATTTTATTGAAAGTTTAGGTGTTTAATAGGAACAAGCATCAGTTAAAGTGTCTAACTGAAATTTAGCGCCAAGTTTAAGGGTTTGGATATGTATTTGGCCTAATATCTTTTCTTATGAGAACTAGGAATCATCCTCGTGAATAAACTCTACTCTACCTTAAGAAGAGTCCGAAACTTTTCTAATGCCTTTTTGGGCAAAAAAATACGTTTTTACTACTAAAAAAAAAGTTACATAAATAACTAAAACACAGTATAATACTGCGTTTTACTTTAACGGAAAGTTAGTCGTTAAAGAAAAACACAGTACTATACTGCGTATTATTAAAAAAATAATTTTTTTTAATATTAATATTGGGCCAGCTATATTTAATTAAAGCAAAACGCAGTATTATACTGCGTTTTGCTTTAATTAAANACTCATATAGTACATGCATATTTGTATTGTTGAATATGTTTCCATGTTAATTTGTGTTATGTTTATATTTAAATTTGTATCTTATTTATACCCTGATTGATTTATTAGCTTTGGGACAAAAAATTGTTAAAATTTGATAAATAATTTTTAATGTTAATGTTATGTTTTTATTTGCTTAAATAATAAATAAACATTATTTATTTAGTTTGTTGTTCATATTTGTATGTTATGTTTGTTGTTTTTATATGTAATAGTGACCTTTTAGCGTAATAAAATATAGAGCCTTTTCGCGTAGTAAAATATAGAGCCTTTTAGCGTAGTAAAATATAGAGCTTTTTAGCGTAGTAAAATATATAGCCTTTTAGCGTAGTAAAATGTAGAGCCTTTTAGCGTAGAGTCTCTATAGTTTAAGTATGTAGTAACTCTAAACTCTATCCAATTACATTTTACAAAATTAATTATTTAATTTATAAAAATAAACTTAAAAAAGTAAAAAAATTAATATATGTTGTCAAATTAACTCAAATATCGAGCCTGAAACCCATACATAATTATTCAGTCCAATATTAAAAATAATTAATTATTTAATTTATTAAGCTAACAAAATAATTAAGGATAGGTTGGTGCTACCGGGCCTCAAATATCGAGCCTGAAACTCATACATAATTATTAAGTCCAATTCAAGGAATTTTAATTCAATTTATTAAACTAACAAAATTCTAAAAATTTTGAAATTGACACGCATAATAATTAAGGATAGGTTGGTGCTACCGGGCCTCAAATATCGAGTCTGGAACCCATACATAATTATTCAGTCCAATTCAATAATTTTTAATTTAATTCCTTAAACTAACAAAATTCTAAAAATGTTGAACTTGACACGCATAATAATTAAGGAAAGCTTGGTGCTACCGGGCCTCAAATATCGAGTCTGGAACCCATACATAATTATTCAGTCCAATTCAATAATTTTTAATTTAATTCCTTAAACTAACAAAATTTTAAAAATGTTGAAATTGACACGCATAATAATTAAGGATAGGTTGGTGCTACCGAGCCTCAAATATCGAGCCTGGAACCCATACATAATTATTCAGTCCAATTCAATAATTTTTAATTTAATTCCTTAAACTAACAAAATTCTAAAAATGTTGAAATTGACACGCATAATAATTAAGGATAACTTGGTGCTTCCGGACCTCAAAAATCGAGACCGGAACCCATAGATAATTACTCAGTCCAATATTAAAAATAATTATTTAATTTATTAAACTAACACACACAATTAATTTTCTTTAAATTATAGTAGACGACATGGACTTTCCGCCTGCGCATCCTGGACTTGCCGAGGATCAGCTATTAGTGTTGCAGGGCGACCATAGGTCCTCTTTTGTATGGGAGGGACAGCTATCGGATGAGCCTCTCCGCGCCAGGAGACCTGACGATTTGTGGGAGTTCATGGCGCAGCATCCTTTCCATGCCCGCGTAGTCGCGTGCCTACAGGCTACGGGCTTCTATACGATTTTTCGGATTGGGCGGATGCAGCTTGATTGGTCTCTCATCATGGCCTTGGTAGAGCGGTGGAGACCAGAGATGCATACTTTTCACTTGCCCACTGAAGAGACCACCATCACGTTGGAGGATGTTCAGGTTTTGTACGGGCTGTGCGTAGATGGACGGGCCGTGGCACTGCCCTAGTACATTAGATCCATGACGCGTGGATAGTATTTGGATATGATGGGGCAGTTTACTGGTTATAGACCTCACGGTGACTACCATCGGGGTAATGTTGTCCCACGAGGCAGGGGTAGGGCACGAGGGAGGGGTGCCTCACGAGGTCGCGGGGGACGGAGAGGAGGTGGTCCCCAGCAAGGGAGCGTTGAGGCACCTGTCGACCCATCTATTGAGGGACATGATGAGGATTTTGGAGATGAGGATCTTGGAGAAGATCAGCCGGGTTATATACCTCAGGTAGATGATCCTTCCAGCAGCATGTCGTCGTACAACCTTCAGCTATCTCTGCCAGCATCGCAGGTCACCCCGTCAGGAGCATTGTCGATCATGGGTACATTTGACGGGGATGTAGACCAGTACTTTGCATGCCCATCTATCGTAGCTGAGGATCGGCCGACCCGGGACGTGGATGGCGGGCGCAGGTTGAGTTATGCCTCATCCCCGGCGGT